GGGGAGGGGGACACAGAGAAGTAAAGACCATAGTGAGTGTAAGAGGCTTTGGTCAGCTCTGTCCACGTGCAAAACACGGCTGGTAAGGGGTCATAGGGAAGGTGCTGGGGTAGATGCTACCCCTAAGAGCATCCTAAGGTGTGCTCACTGACTCTGTTGGGCTCTGAGAGCTTCTCACGTGCTAGGCAGTGGGGGGGGGGGCAGAGGCCCCCAGGGGTGACACTGACAAAGGAACCAGAGGAGGCTCTGAAGTTGGGCTGGAATGTGTTAGGGGTAGGAGGTGAGTCAAGAGGGGAGGGTGTGGCCCTGCCTCTGTGCCTGTCTCTCCAGAGCCTGCTTGCTTGTCCCACTACTGCTTGGGCTTTTTGTGACTTCTTTCTGAGCTACACAGCCCATAGCCTCCTTCCACTCCCATCCTCACTGTGGCTTTTTTTTCTCCTACCTCCCTGTCTTGTCCCACCAGAGACTGGCTCTTCCCTGCCCCATCCCTGCCTCCCCCCCCCCCCACCCCAGACCTAGGCTGACACCTGTGTCCTTGAGGACTTGTGGTCTGGATTCTTGAGCTGGTATAGAAGGGAGAAGCTGGCCGTGCTTTCTTGTCCTAAGAAATCAAGGGATCCTGGGCTTTAAAATTGTGACTGTCTTTGTGGGGGCTCATGGGAGGTAGTTGAAAGGGACCAGGAGGTTGGGGAGCAAAGAGTTCTCTGTCAGCATGCTCTCTCCTGTGTGTACCGCCAACACTGGCAGCTGTCCTGTGGGAAGGATTTAGCTTGCAGAAAAGGAGAAAATGTTTTGAGCAGAGGTGTGTTCCACAGAGCTGGATCTGTGGTAGGCAATCTGAGCTCATGGAAGGGAGTGGTTAAACAAAACTGTGAAACGTTGCAGCCCCCAGCATGAGCGAGCACTGGGCCACAGTGCCCCAAAGGGCTGGTTAAGGTGGACTTCTTCCCACCAAGCCTCTCTCAGTGTGGGGTCTTAGAGTGTGACTGTGTGTCTGGGGAAGGGTGGGCATCTGGGTCTCCTCTCTGGGCAAGCCTTCAGGAGAGGGGTGCACTGTCCTCTAGTGGCTAGTGGCTCTCTGCGGCCAGAACTTCAGTTCTCAGCCTGTCTTCTTTGTGGCGTGGTCTCCTGATGGAGAGCTCTAGACAGCCCATGGAGGGTCCTCAGACATCTGAACAGCATCCTCAGAGGCTGCTAATCTCCTGCTTCCCATTTGAGCTGTTGCAGGGGCTACACCCATCTTGGGAAAGCCACCAGGAGGAACCCAAGTCCTGAATCTTGCAGAGAAGATGAGTTACAGACATAGGAGTGGGGGAGTCTCATAGCCCATTCCCGCCCAGGACCTTGCTCTCCATTCCTGAATGCTAGGCTTTCCCAGCTCAGCTCCATCGTTAGGCAGCCATAGTCTGACTTTCCCAGAGAGATGCAATGACCCCACCTTCAGGAGAATACCACACCCACTGCTCATGATGACAGCAGAGGCCTCAAGTCCACACATAGGGACAGGGAGTCTTGAAGCTGGAGTCCCGTGCCAGCCAGTGCTCAGGAAACTTTAACCTCGAAGTTGGTAGCTCTGATAATGGCAGGTGTATTTCAATAAGACTGAGATCCATGGGTGGTGGTGGTGGTGACTTCCCAGTGGGATGGGGTGACACTTCAGCCCAAGGCTGAGGACAGGACAGGATGGCAGCCAGACTTCTCTCTTCGTGGGAACATCACCGGGAATGGGAATACCTGGGTTCACGGCCTGGTTCGGCTCCTGTGCTATGTGACCCAGAGAGGCGCATCTTCCTTAAGTATGTTGTCCTTAGTTGGATGCTCTGTGTTGGTCCTTGCCTGGCTACTCCCACAGCTTCCAGGAAGGTGGTTGGAGAGTACAGAGGTGGGCCCTGTCCTACCTAGGCCTCGGCACTGAGCCCAGCTTATGATGTATACACTCTTAGGCACACCCATGCCTTTGAGTCTTCCTCACTTATGTGAAGAAGTGGACATGGTGTCTTTCCCAAGATAAACTTTGGACCTGGGGCCTCACATTCCATCTTGTGTCTCCAGGCTCAGGGTGCACTCAGGCTGCTTCTTGCTCCTAGACACAGCACTTCTGAGGGTATTGCCTCAGGGTCACCGTGACCTCCAGGGCTGGACTTACCTCACAGCCACTGCCGCTCTCTTCTACCTCCTCCCAGCTCCACCCTCCCTGTTCCCTTGTAGCCTCCAGGCCTGGTCACTCTGTCTTCCCTGTGGTGTGTCCCTCTACCCAGAGACTTCAGTTCTGCCTGTCCCTCCTGCCCTCTGCATGGCCCTGGGCCCTGGCTGTGAGGGCCTCTGTGAGCTCATGACAAGTCCATGGTTATTTTTACATCTTTAGATGCCTTCCAGCTGCCTGCCCACATGCCATCCAGTGTCCAATGGGCTTCTTAGCTTCATCCATCTAGGAAAGACCCCGGTCCAAGCTGTATCCCTGAAAGCCCTCCCCAGGCATCCTCTTCCTGCCCCCATGCTAGGAACCATTTTCTGGTCTTCACTGTCCCCTGCCAACCTACAGACAGTCCAGTCGCTGCTGCCTGGAAGACTGGGGCAGGTTCACATAGCTGGTGCTGAAGCTGCCTCTTCCTGTTTTTCTGTCCAGCCTAGGCCCATAGCATCCCTTAATGGGATAGGACAGGAGTGTCTGAAGATGTGATTGTCCCCGTGAGTCTGTGCTTCATGCAGTAGTCAAGGCTGGGGCAGACTTTCATGCTCTGTACTCTTAGAGCTAGCTCTGGCACCAAACCTTTCTGGCTCACCTGCCTGTGACTTAGTCCCCTTGTCCTGTTGGCCCTTCAAGTCTTCATAGAGACCGCTGTGCCTTTGTCCTGACTGTTCCCTGTGGGGCTGCTAACCTGGATCCTCCAGGTTTATTTATTTGCTCATCCCTGAGGGGTCCCTCCCCCTCCACTCCACACTCAGGAGGACCCTGCCCACCATCAGTTTGCCTATTCTTGTAGTTCGCCATAGTACTGGGCCAATAGTTAGCTGTTAGCTTGTATGTCCCAGTGTCTCTTTGTTCAGGTTTATAGGAGGTGGGACAGGGTGACAGAATTGGAGTAGCAAGATAGGGGTAGGGCATCTGGAGCAGTTAGTGCTTAGGCTTGGCTCCAGGGAACCATTTTGATCTGTCCATCCAATTGCCTCTGTGCCCAGGCCCATGGAGCCACATGACTTAGGCTGAAGACCCTGGCAGTGCCTGTGGTTTCTGTAGCCAATTGAGAAACCCCTCCTGCTTATAAACCCGAGCACCACAAACTGGCTTCCAGCAACAGACACTTATCTCTTTAGGGCAGAAGAGTGAGATCAGCCATAGCAGGGCCACATGCTCACTGCCTTTTCTTGCTCATAGTGGCTCTAAATGTCCTTGACTTACAGCCTTATGGTTCCACCCCCTGCCTGTGTCCACGTGGCCTTTCTCATACCCCATTTTCTGTTTCATCTGAGAATGTGTCAGTGTCCCCAGGAGAACTGAGGAGCTTGTCTCCCAATCTGCAGCTTAAGTCTTTTACCAAGTGTCACCTTTATAGGTCCCCAAGGCTGAAAGTGGCCACCATTCATCTCCTGCTGATGTAAGAAGGGGTTCACAGATTCTCAGTGTCCTGAGGCACCGGTTGAGAGTTTGTGTATCCAGAGATCAGATAGATTGGGGGGTGGCACCAGTCCACCAGGAATAAGGTCTCAGGATCAAATACGGGGTCCTTCCCTGTAGCTCTTTAAACCAGGCAACATCAGGCTCAGCACCGTGTGTGAGCAAATTCTACCCTAGAGTAGAGACGGGCCAAATCCAGTCCACTGCCTGCTTCTGAGGTGTCACTGGCAGCCTCCACAATCTTCCCACGCCGTGCTGAAGGCTTGAGATGAGTGGTTGTAATAAAAGCTGCCATCTCTGCAAAGCTAAGGTATTTAGCTGTCTGGTATTCCAAGGAAAAGTTTATTGATACCCTTCTTGCTCCTACCATTGGGAACATGAACTTTCTGAACAAAGGAGTTGACAGTGGGCTGTCCCTGAAGCAGCAGACTATTCCTGGATGAATTTTGGACTCTCTGCTATGCCAGGACAGGCTGAGGTTGGGCCACCATTGGAGCTTAAGGAACTGGACTGATCTTGATAGAGCTTAAGGAGCTGATCTTGATAGCTGTGCTGAGGGTCACTGGGGTTGCAGAGGAGGAGCAGGATGTGAGGGAGATGGTTAGAGACCCTAGCCTGAGGGTGCTCTACAGGTGAACATGAGAGGAGCTGAGCAACACTGAGGCATGAAAGACAGGCAGGTTTATGGACAGGGCTGAGGTGGCCAGTGTGTCTGTTGGGTGGGCAGCAAGGTCAGCCTCAGCAAACAGTAGCAGAAGCAGGACACTGGCTCAGATGCTACTTCTGTCATGGTGGGTTCTCAGGGGAGGAAGGGCCTGAAACTCTTGAGTCCTGCCTGCCAGGGACTTGAGAGGTGAAAGGAGCCAGGGCTTTTTGGCCACAGTGGGGTGATTGGTGCTTACTGGCTACATCTTACAAAGCTCAGCAGACAGCCTTGTGGGCTGCAGCTGAAAGCAGTGTGGCAATGTATGAACCCACAGTGAGCACCCACATTCAGTCCTCAGGGTTCCTGTAGGGTCGTATGTGCTATGTTACAGATGAGGACGCTGGACCTGACAGCTGGAGGGAAAGGTGTCCCCCGCCATGCTGAGACTGTGGACACACAGGGCCTTGGCTATGCTTACTTCCACTGTTCCTGTGATTGCCTTGGTGGATCCCCAAGTGGATTTTCATTTCTCATGTGACATGTTTGGGGATGCTTTTGAGGGACATGTTCTGTTTTGTTTTCTTGTTGTGTTTATGTCCCTCTGAGCCCAGTTTCTTGCTTTGTGCTAGTGAGTCTATCGTTCAGGCCCTTCTCACCTGTGTTTGAGAGAAACTGAGCCAGAACCCGAGGTGACAGGTGGACTCCTACACGTTGCGCCATCCTTGGTTGGGAATGGCTTCTCCATTTTTTTTTTTTTATGGTTATAAACAATGGACAGGTCTCCAGACAGGAAGTGGAGCCCCACCCTGTTTGTTTGTTTGTTTGTTTGTTTTAGCAAAAGGGAGGTTTTATTTTAGGCCTATGCTCCGGAGGGATAAGAGGCCATCACGATCATGGTGGGAGCATGTAGGCGTGGTACTGGAGCAGACGCTGAGAGCTCACATCCATATCCACAAGTAGGAAGCTGAGAGGACTACTCAAAATGGCATTCTGGAAATCTCAGAACCCACTCCCAGTGGCATACATTTTCCAGCAAGAACAGACCTCCTAAGCGTCACCCAAATAGCTCTACCAACTGTAGCTCTATCAAGTATTAAAACAGACCTGTGGCCATGTTGTAATACAAAATGCATTTGGTTCATCTTCAACAGTCTCCACAGTCTTCTGTCCCCCACACCGTTTAAAAGCCCACAGTCCAACATCTCACCTGAGGCTCAAGACAGTCTCTCAACTGTAACCCCAGCTTCGGAGAGACAAGACTTCATCACCGTCATGGTGAGAAGCGTGGCAGCAGGCAGGCAATAGTGAGGGATCACACAATAGTCTACAAACAGGAAGCAGAGGACTTAGCCTCTTTTGGAGATAAGCTCTCAAGTAGTCCATAGTGACTTGCTATAGAGCCGAGGGTGGACTGTGGCTCCTGGTCCTCCTGTCGTCACCTCATTGGTTTTGTAAGTGGCACACAGCTGTGCTTACCGGTGAACATGCTGCCTGGCTGCTTGCCCACCCTGTTGGGTAGCAGAGGAAGAGACTCTGTAGTCCCCAGAGCTCTGGCCCTCATGGAAATCTTGCTGGGATCAGCCTCCATGATCCTGGCTCTCAGGCTCTGGGTAGGGAAGGAGCGAAAGCCACAGAGGCTCTGGGAGTCATGGTTGGGATTTGGGTCCTTGAGTGGGTTTGCTGAGTCTGTTCGCAGGAATGTCTGGCTTTACTCTGTGGCCCCTGTGCGGCTTTCTCCATTCTCGGTGTAGCCCAATATATCCATTCGCTGATAGTGCCACGTGCTATTCGGGGTTGCCTCACACAAAAAGGTGTTCAGGTGTTTGCGTTGAGCCTGTGAGCCTACACCCTCCTCATAGGTGGGCACACTGAGGTCCAGGTGCTGCTGGTGTGGAAGCCTGGCTGCTGGGGGGAGGGGAGGGCTTCTGACGAAGGCTGCTGGTGACTGCAGAGGGCAGGGAGCCATGAACGTAGCCTGCATCAGCCCACCCAGCTTCCATTTGTCTCATGGGGAGTGGCACCCTGGGGTGCAGTGCAATGGCAGTGCTGACAACTCCAAGGCAGAGGAGAAACACACTTGGGGTGGAGTTCCAAGATGTCCTTGTTCTGGGGGCACAGCGAGTTGAGACCCATTCACCACACTACACAGACTGGGCAAAAAGGGGCCAGAAGCGTGGGGCTCAGAGCGGACCCCAGGGTCCTGATGGGATGAATAAAGGCTCCAGACATCCAGAACAAGAGTAGCTGGTTTTGCTCTTGTCCTGTGGCTCTTTTGGGGTGGGTAAGTCATTTGTTCAGGGCCAGCCTTGAACTCGGGTCTCTGTCCAACAGTGCTGAGGCCTTTTAGGGACAGTGGTAAAAGGGTGGAGGCAATGAACAGTATAGGCAGCACCCTGATGACCTCTTGCCTGTCTGAACAGACTGCCTGCTGATGCTGGTCTACAAGGACAGGTGTGAACGCTCCAAGGGCCTGCGGGAGCGCAGCAGCCTCACCCTGGAGGACATCTGTGGCCTGGAGCCTGCCCTGCCCTATGAGGGCCTGGCCCACACTCTGGCCATCATCTGCCTGTCCCAGGCTGTCATGCTGGGATTTGACAGCCATGAGGCCATGTGTGCCTGGGATACCCGTATCCGCTACGCACTGGGCGAGGGTGAGTGCCATGAGTGCAAGGTTTGCGGTGAAGCCCCAGAATCCTTCACCAAATGTGGGCTGCAGGGATGAACGAGACCCCAGGGAATCTGTAGAGGAGATGAAAATGGGTGGGTGTCTCAGAGTAAGAGATTCAGGTGGGCCCTTATGGGTGCTTGGGCCAGGGGCTGAGGATGGACTTGGTGCCATGGCCCTTTAAGGTCCCCAAAATGATCCTGTTAAAACTAGAACCCTTAGCTAACTGAGCTAGCCCTATGTCATTTAAGGAAGGACCCTCCCCACCCCCATGCTTTGTGACCCATGTGTTCTGTGCCATCGCAGAGCTCATGCAGAGGGATCTATGGAAGCCACAGGATTGACTTTCAGGAGTTCAGGGTAGAAATTGTCCCCTGACCTCCACAGGCACCCTGAGGCATGTGCGCCCTTGCACTCCTAGATGATGATGTGATGATGATGATGATGATGTGATGATGACGATAAATGAACTAATGAGACATACTGCCCACCCATGCTGACACTTAGGCAGCTGAGGCGGAAGCTTTGCTTTCATTCATCCAAGAACAATGTGGCCTGGTGGACCTTTAGTCCTAGAGTTGTGGTGTGGATAATGCAGTGAAGGTCCAGGGCAGGCAGTGTTAGTATAAAAGCTCTCATCTTTCTAGAGAGTTCTCTGGTGGTGGGTCATAGCTTGGCTGTGCCTCCCGCCATACAGGTAAGACAGAGATCATCCCATTAAGTGGAGGGTTTCCCAGGCCTCTCTACAGATATCAAGAGAGAACTGATGTGGCTTGACAGACCCCTGTAGATCTAAGGGTGAGCTTGCCAAGGACAAACCCAAGGCCACAGCTTGGAACAAGACAAGGTGGCATCATTACTAGGGTCCCTCTGGCTCTGGGGTCTAGAGATGAAGCGGGACTATACATAGGCAGTGCAGGTAGACAGGCTATTGTTGGCTCACAGGGATGGGCTTCTGAAGTAGGGTGCCCGAAGAGAGAGGGGAGGAAGGAACGAATCTGGCTGTGTTCCCTAAAGGCTTTCAAGGCAAAACTCTGAGCTGAAGCAGCTGCAGCAGCTTCTAGCTACCTCTGAGCCATGCTAGTGTCAGGCAGACCTGCCAACCATTGCCTCCTAATCTAGACACAGGGTGAGACATACTCCATGCCACACACCAAAGTGGGACCTCCTGAACTTTGCTTTCCCATCTCTGAAATGGGACCACATTGGCTGTTTTGATGGGAAGAGTCCCCAAGGGGCGGCCTCAGTGCACAAGACCTGCATTAAATATGTTAGGGAGGGCTGGGTTGTGATCAGTGCCCTCAGAGAATATGCTTGACTCTGACTAAGGAAGATCCTGGAATATGGGCGGACCTAATTGGGGCCCACTGACGTCCTTAGCACTTCTCGACTCTTCTCAGCTTCACCAGCCTGATCCTGGGATACTACTTCTCCCACCTCGGCCACCCCCTGGTAATACCCTTTTGCTCACTGTCTGGCCCTCAGTACATAGGTTCCATGTGACAGTAGCTCCTGGCACCAAACTGGAGAGTGGTCCGGCCACTCTCCACCTCTGCAATGACATCCTCGTCCTGGCCAGAGACATCCCTCCAGCCGTCACGGGGCAGTGGAAGCTGTCTGATCTCCGGCGTTATGGGGCTGTGCCGAATGGGTTCATCTTCGAAGGCGGGACCAGGTGTGGGTACTGTAAGTATGCTGTGTGTGTGGGGGGGTACTGGGGACACTCGAGCTGATTGGCCTATGCATGTTGGCTTGGGGACCTGAAGGGAGGCTGTGGGCTGGGTCCCCAAGCAACGGGGCTGCAGTGGCTCAAGTTGGGCACAGCATTCAGCAGAGCCTGAGCTCTGGCTGCTTCTGGGGATGAGAGGGAGCTTGAGGGAGCCTGGGAAACTCCAGAGAGCAGTCTGGTGTCACTGTGTTGCTTGCATATGAGGTCGGTGTCAGAGCGCCTTCTGTTCAAGTTAAATGAAAACAATACAAAAAAGTAAGCGTACGAGTCAGGGTTCATGGACGCCACAGTCAGAGAACTGCATTCACTGGCCAAAAATTCCTCTCGACCGGTGGTTCTCGGCCTTCCAAATGCTGAGACCCTTTAATACAGTTCTTCAGGTTGGGACCCCCAACCGTAAAATTATTTGCTACTTCATAACTGTAATGTTGCTACTCTTATGAATCATAATGTAAATATCTGATAAGCAGGATATCTGATATGCGACCCCTGTGAAAGGGTCTTTCGACTTCCAGTGGGGGTTCTCGACTGGGAGGTTGAGAGCTCCTCTTTAGACACCTCCCACCCCCACCCCGCAGCTACCTTCACTGCTGCGCTGCCCAGAGCTGCCTGAATGTCGACAGTGAGATGGCCACATGTGGGAAGGGAAGGTCTGGCCCTGGGTGGTATGAAGGTCCTATCCCTGAGTCTCCAGAGGCCACGCTATGCAGGCCTCAACTCATATGTGAGCAGGCTGAAATGGGTGCAGAAGCTGACATGGGACAGCCGTGATAGGATGGTGTCTGGTAGCTAGGGTGGGATCTTGGTGGATGGGTGGTGTTTGGAGGACTGTGAGGCCTTTCATGCCAGGAATGAGTTGGTCCAGTGATCCCCCCCCACACCCCATACTGCTCTCTGAGGGGACTGCATGTATGGTGGGGGAGTATGGACCTACAGTGACTGAAGGAACAGAACCCTTTCCTCTCCTGAGAGGCCAGCTGCACTGCATGTTTGTGCTGGTGCCCAAGGTGCTCACCCTCCTGGCAACCTGCCCTCTCATGGGGTTGAGGTGACCATGGTTGGTTGCTGTATCAAGGCCAGGGAGCCCCTGTTTTCTAGAGGCCCAGACCTTGAGTAGTTGAATTCCTAGGTCAGGCCTCTGAGACTCTTGCAACCTGCCCACCCATCCCCGCCCTTGTCAGAGATGTCCCCCTGACCTATACTGGGGTGTGGGATGTAAGAAGTTGGGCTTAGCCCCTGTAGAGCATAGCCAGGCTCATCATGGCCTGATTGGATGTGTATTCACAGGGCTCCAGGAGTGATGCCTCCCTCGTCCTGAGGTGACATTGATATGTGTTGTCTGCTGCCTGGACCTCACGTTCCGAAAGGGCTGAGTTGGAGTGGACACCATGCCCCATAGTCTCTGTTGGATACTGAGAGCTGACAGTGGGCCTCTGAGTGGGAGGCAGTCCTATGAGGACCTTTGGGGAGATGAAGTGTGATCTACAGAGATGCTTAGTGAAGGGACACAAAAGGAGTTGAGGCAAGGCAACATCCTTCCCTGGACAAAGGGACAGCATGACACCACAGCACTGTGGCAAGCACAGCCATTTCCCATGTCAGCTGTGGTGCCCAGCCTGCTCCCTTGGCAGGCCTCAAGAGCAGAGGATTCCAGAATGACCTGTGGCTGGGATGGTGGGATGGCCATTTGGGCCCCTCTGTTATTTGGTAGCTGGGAACTACAGGCCAGTCAGTCATAGAGCGGCCTATCTTTCCTGGGAGCCTCTCCATTTAGGAGTTGCTGGGTTCACTCTGATTGAGCAGGCCAGGATCCTTGCTTCAAGGTCTGTGGGATTTCCAGGTTAGGGGTGGTGCTGGCCAGCATGCCTTCCAGGCCAGGCAAGACTCCCAGGTGGGCTGGGCTAGAGGACCCATTTCCATGGAGGCCTGTTCACTTTGACTGGGCACAATTCTCCTCTGGGGCCTCTGAACTTACAGCTTGGTCTCTTAGTGCCAATGGGCTCCTTTCTGCTTGTCACCATCCTGGGCACTGCCTGTTAGCTCTGCTGAGAAAGCAAGCACCTGACCTGGGCTGTTGTGTTTTCCCTGTGCCTGTGGTGAACTATTCAGGGCTGACCCGAGGCTTCTGAGCAAGGTCCTGAATTAGCTACGGGAGGCTGCCTGGAACCACTGTGCCTGGAGCCGGCTAGTCTGAGTCCTGCTTCATAGCCCTGGCACCGGCACTGCTGGGAATTCTCTCCCTCCAGCTCAAATCCTACTTGGCCCACAGGTCACTGGCTGCTGGAAAAGGCTGTGTGGTGACCATGGTTAGGTGCTACATCAGGGCCAGGGAGCCCCTGTCATGTAGAGGCCCAGATTTTGAGTAGTGTGAGGAGGCTGTGAGACATAAGGTTGGTTTTAGCTCCTGTATAGCATAGCCAGGATCAGCACGGCCTGACTGGATGTTTGTCCACAGGGCTCCAGGAGAGATGCCTCATCTCTCTGGGAAGACCTGAAGGGGGGGACTGACTGGGCAAGCCCACCCCTCTGCTCCTGACAGGTGCCCCAGGGCTCTGTTCTCCAATAGAAACACACTTGGTCCCCCTCCAACTGGTCATAGAGACTGCTGCAGCCAGCTGGGTGTGGTGGCACACACCTTTAATCCCAGAACTCAGGGAAGCAGAGGCAGGCAGATCACTGTAGTTGGAGGCCAGCCTGGTCTACAGACTGAGTCTAGGACAGCCAAGGCTACACAGAGAAACCCTGTCTTGGATTAGAGAAGGGGGGGGGAGAGAGAGACACAGAGACACAGAGAGAGAAACTGCTGCAGACAAGCTGTGACTCCCTGACACAACATGGGACACAAGGCAGGTGGGCAGAAGGGTGACTGGAAGCCATGCGTCCACCCTTTAAGTGGGGAGACCTAGGAAAGAAGCTGCAGCCTAGTGTGGCTCAGGGAGCAGCAGGTGTCTGGAGTAGCCCACAAACCGGAACAAGGTTGTTAAAGTAACAAACATTGGCTCCTTCAAGGTCTGGGGCCAACAGTCCCCAGTGAAAGGGTCAGTAAGACCTTCCTTTAGGGCTCCTGGGATTATTTTTTATTTCCTCATTAACTGCACTCCTGGTGTCCTAGCTGGTATCTGTCTGTCTGTCTGTCTCTCTCTCTGTATGTGTCTCTTTCTCTCTCTAGCTCTCTCTGTCACTGGCTGTAGGGCCAGCTGGATCAGCCAGGATATTATTGTGCTTATATCCCAAACCAGCCCATCTTCAAAGACCCTTTCTGTATATACATGTGGACAGGTCTTTTGGGAGCTACCATTTGGCCATGATGGTAATAAAATTTGCATCATGGTGCACATGGCTTGGCCATGTCCTGCTTGGAGGACAGACGACTAGAGAGCATTATCAGAAGGCTTTAGCAGATCTTGAATATGTAGAATTAACATTCTCTTCCTCCCCTGAGGACAGACCCTAGCATGGTCCTGCCCCCTCCAGAACCTAGCTTGCTCCCCAGAGAATATAGAGGTGACCTTGTCCCCAGTGTGGCTTTTCACCTACTCAAACTTCTTGGTTTAGTTGTATGTCAAGGACCTCGTGGGGAAGAGAGGTATAGGACCACTTTCTCTGGCTTAGAGACAACTGGTAGAAAGGCAACCCAGGTAGACTAGGATGGGGAGACCTGTCACAGAGGACAGGTAAGGCTGACATTAAGGATGAGCAGAAGTTTCTGCAGAGGGAACAAACCCTGCTTCTGCCAACTGCAAGGCTTCTTGGGACCATCTCCACACTCCCAGCATGGCAGGATCCTCTAATGCTAAGAATTTCGTCAGTGTCAGACAGCAAGGTGGTGCCAGGCTGTCCCCGAGTCTAGGTCAGATCATCTTGGGGGCCCTCTCTCAGGTACTGTGCCTGCCCTGCCCTTCCTGTGGAATCTCCTTACAGTCTCCAGGGAGTTCATCTCAAGCCTTGGCATCATTTCTGCCCCCAGCATCCATCCACTCACGATCATGGCCACTGGAGACAGTTTGTAGCCCCCTTTGGTGGCATCTGGAAAATACATTTGAAACAAATAGCCCTGTATGATTCTGACACACAAAAGTGAAATATAACCTCATGGGGGTCTAATAGAGACATGGAGTCCTAGGGAAAGGCACAAGAAAGGGACACCAAGGCATGGGAGAGCTGGTCACTGACCCAGGCTGGGCCACTAGTGCAGTGTTTGCTGGGCACTTGGGAATGATACTTACAGGCCCCATGGTACAAGTCTGGAAGAAGCAGAGGGATCTAAAAGGTTCTGCTCTTTCTCCAGACAAGAACAGGAAGGTTTAGCTGCACGGCCAGTGGTTTCCAGGAGTGCTGTCCATATGTCAACTATGGGAGAGGAAGGGCTCCATGCTGAGGTGGGGCAGCAGGATCAGGGCTGGGATGAGGACCCTTAGCTCTTGGAGCTCAGTGCCTTTCTAGCACTGTGTCCATGGACAGCAGGGGCAGTGATACAGGCATCCCAAACAGGAGGCGTCCAGAGCAAAGCCTTTTGACTTAGAGTGACATTCAAGAGATGTGGCCACTCGGAGGGACATCTCTGTGGCCTCCAGAGAAATCTTGCATTCAGTGGCTGGTATTGAGCCCGGACTCTGTGGCTGCCTGTCACAAGTCTCCAGGCATGTAGTTGTGTCTTTTGCTGGCATGGATTTGAGGGGACTCCTCTGCCTTTGTAGACATATAGTAACATCAGCATACAGAGTGAGTCCAGGTCCCATCAGTGTGGAGCCTACTGTCACACAAAGCCCAGGCTGGCCACAATGAGAGCCACCCTGCAGGACATTGAGAGGGACACATCTAAGCTCTCACATGCCCTAGCCCATGGGGCCTTGCCACCTGGGGACTTTTCTCTTCTTCTTTGAAGAAGAGAAGACTGAGGCGTGAGCTGCCACAGGTGCTTGTGGCCAGGTGGGGGCGGTGGCAGAAATGGCCCAGCTCATGTATTGCTGTTTGTGTGAGCAGCTGTTCCTGAGGCAGGGTGGGGCTGGCTGCTTACCCCAGGGTTCCATCCGCCACGTGCCAGCCCTTCTTCCTCTTGAGGAACAAAAGGCCTTCTCGGGCAGAGTGGGCATCAAGCTGGGAGCCAGGGAGCAGGACCAGCTGCTAGGTAATTCAGACTCTGCCAGCTGTCAGAGGCCACCATCTGTGTCCTCAGGGGCTGATTTGCTGCAAGCTGTTTGTTCTAGACAGAAGAGAGTGGAGAGGCACAGGACCCTCTGACCTCTGAAACAGGCCACGTGACCTCCTGGGGTACATGGAGACTTCATGCCTCAGCTCGGGCTGCTACACAGGAGAAATTAGGTGTTGTAGACAGAAACCTCACTCTTTGGGGATGTTGGTGATGTTGACAGTGACTTGACTGCAATTCTTCAGAACCTTGTGATAGAGCCCAAAGCCTTATCTATACAGGAGAGCAAGTAACAACTCCACCATGCCAGTCCTTCCTGCGGCCCTGTGCACTTGCAGTGTGCCTGAGCTGGGCCTTGGGGGTTCCCCTTCCTACGGTCTGGAAGGGGCCCCTCCATGCCTAAGCTGAGCCTGGCTCCTCACTCTCTTCCTGAGGACCAGGACCTCAGCTTGGTCTTCAAGAAACAGAAGAGTCAAGGCCTATGAGGAGATCTGTACCGGTGTAGGCTGCGTGGGTGAGCAGGAACCCCGAGGCACAAAGAAATGGCAAGAGGGCAGAAGCAGCCAGAGGAATAGGAGTCACGAAGGAGTGGCCTCATCTGGGCCTGCATAGAGGGTTCACCCATGAGTTGATGAAGGTGCTGTCAATGCAACCCAGTGACAAGCTGAGAGGGTCTTTGGCTAATGTCCCCATACTCCATTAAGGGAGATGCTGGTCTCTGCTGAGGCAAGCCTGAGCCGTTTGGAAGTGTGTGTATATCTAGGGGTCATTGTCAGAGTGATTTCAAGGACACTCTCCGAGGGAGCAAAAGCTGGTACATCCTAAGAGCTCTTGGCTCCCCATCTTTGGGTCCTCGTGCTACCTGTTGCTGGACAGTGAGCACCCTGAGTGCAGTGTCCATTCTGGTCAGTTCTAGGTCAGAGTTCTGGGCAGGGTTCAATGAGGCGGCTCATCTCTGTCCCTCCAGGCACAGACTAGGTCACTCGAACAGTGAAAACCAAGATGATAGCAAGGGCTGTGGTTGATAGGGAGGCCACAGTTTCTCTTCTAGCTCCTTTTCTAGCAGCGTAGCTGAGGTTTTCCCTGGGGTGGGTGGTTCTAGGTAGGCACGGTGGGTGGTGCTAGGCTCCCTCAGTGATCTGGAAGAGTAGAGTGCTGCTGTGGTCACTGTATACTGCTCAGAGGAGGCTCGGGCTGGCCAGGAGTTGGTGAGGGAAGTGGGACTAGCCTCATGGACAGGCAGTCACCTGGACAGGGACATGAACCTGGGCATCGGCCTTTCTTGGAACATACAATCCAATGAACAACAAAGAGAAGGTCCCTGTAGGTGTCTCTTAACTCTTATCTAAGGGTGGCTCCTCTGCCAGCAGGTCCTGGGAGGTCACCAGGGCCACTGTCACAGGTGCTTGGTCTGGAGTCTAGTGCAGTGGACAGGAAAAGGGATACGAGGCAGAGTGAGCTTCACGGGGGCTATGTCAGAGGTGAAGGCACCTCAGGGTGGACACCTGGCTTCCAGAGCTGGGGATAAGGGTCAGAGTTTGGAACTAGTAAAGTGGCATCGCAGTCACTTAAGACCATTAGAAAACAAAGATACTTACATTAAGATTCATAACAGTAGCAAAATTACAGCTATGAAGTAATAATGAAATAATTTTACAGTTGCAGATCAACCCAACCTGAGGAACTGTGTTAAAGAGTCACAGCATTAGGAAGGTTGAGAACCTCTGTGATACCGTCTTAAAGGCCGTTGCTACATGCTAAGGAGTATGGTTGGGCATCACCCATGTAGAGGGATGCCAAGTGGGGCAGGCATGTTTAGGGAGCGCTGGGTGATTCCGGGAGCCTTGGGCAGGTAGGGATGACAGAGGGGACAGAATAGGAAGTAGAAATGTATCCTGAAGAGGCCTCATCCCTGGACTCTGAATGCCCAGGTTGATGGACCCTTGCATGTGGGTGTCCTTTAAGGATGTAGATGGGGGGGGGGAATAATGTAGATGGGGTGTCTAGGAAGGATGCCATATGGGCACTTGGGACCTAGGTTGGTAGCTGCTAGGTTCCTGGGCCTTGTCTGTCTGACTACATCTTCTGGGTTGGAGCATGAGGGATATACTCCACAGACGCCGCCGTGGTGGAATGCAGGACCGGCTCCACTCCCTTCGGTAATGTGGTTTTTTATAGTCGAGGGACTGATTGTCCTGTGGCTTCTGCCAGCTGCCTGTAAGCTCAGGATTAGAGGCCTGGCCTTCCATGAGAGCTGGGGCCAGACTGACTGAGCCCTACAGTGGGTGGGGTGGTAGCTGGGGAGAGGGAGCAAGCACGAGATGCTTTATGTGAAGTGGCCAGCAGATGATGGCCAGAATACCTCACTTAACCAGCGCAGTTCTTGGCCTGTAGCACTCTTCCACGAGGTCCACTGGGGCCTTGCTGAGCTGGTGAGCCTCTAGAGGTGGCCTCCTGGTTAGGCATCAGGGGAGCTGTCCACTTTTGCTCTGTGTCCCACCTCTTCTTTTGGTCCACAAAACCCTGGTAGAACCAGTTCTGTGGTGCTGGGCAGTGTCCCAGTGGCCTCTGCCCTAGGCTTGAGATGCCCTTGTCCATCTCATGGGTATTGCTGCCTACTGTGGATTCATTTTGCTTATCTCTAAGACAAAAATGGTAGTTGAGGACATGAGGAAGCTTCAGCAGTCACAGGTGCTGTCCCAGGGTACACAGGTGTGCAGTGGTGGCCATGCACCATACAGGGGGAACTGCAGCACGCATGTCTTGGGACTGGCTGAGTCCCCTGGAAGGCCCATGTTTGTTCAGCAAAGATGGAGTGTGACCTGGAGGCAGAACATTCAGTGAGAAGACTTCTCAGCTCTTACCTTTTCCCCAGCCGTCCAGAGCTGTCCTTGCCTTCTATCCCTGAGAGTCCTCCTGCATGGAGCCTGCCTGCCTTTCTTTGGGCAATGGCAGAGGCCTGGAGCAGAGAGAGATTCTTGTGTGGTGATATACTAAGTGTCCAGCCACGTGGCCTTGGCTCAGTAGGTGGGTGCAGCCATCCTGGCTGCTCTGTCATTCACTCAGCCAGGGAAGGATTTCATTCACCCTTGGTGGAGGCACGGCCCGGCAGGAGGGCCGGCCTGGTGCCTGATGGCACATGGCCTGGGGGTGCCCTCACTGCTGACTCATTGCTCTGGGCTTCTCTGGGCACAGAGGCTCTCAGTACCTGTGCGGTCCCTCTGCCCAAGTGACCCTGGGCTGATTGCATGCCATTCCTTCCTTCTGCTGAGTGGACAGGGGGCCAGAGGCAATCCTGAGACACATGTGCTACCTCAGGGGTCCCTCTTTGCCATTTGACCTCCAGGAAGGGGAGAGGTCACTCAGTGTGGGGATCACCACACTAGTCAGAGCGACAGCTGATTGTTTGTGGGACGGGCACACCACACTGTGCCACAATGGGACAAATACCCACAGGTGACTTGGCACAACCCTGGGTGAAGGTCTGAGTCAGTGATGGCCATACTGAGATGTCGACCTAAGCCCCTGGAGACCCCAGGAGACCTCCCAGAAGTGCCTCCCTTGACCTTAGCATAGGCTGGGGGAAAGCCTCAAGAAGCTGAGGGAGCCTGGAGCACATACAGTGGCCTGTCCTGTGTGTCTCCCTGTAGGAGGTACATGCTGTGGGCTGGTGAACATCCTTTTAGGAGAGTAGCCTTCGACAGTGCAGTCGGGACAGGACGCCTGTGAGGTGTGGGACCACTGGGCTCAGGCCATGCAGCGCTATCTGGAAGGACACCCAGCTGGCATTTTGGCACGAGTTTCCCTGCCAGTCCCTCAGCATTGCTAAAGAGACAGCACTCAACTCAGCACCCCGAGGACAGATTGTTGCAGGTGGAGAAGGCTGCTTCTTTGGCCCAGCTCCAGTCAGCCTGGGGTGGTATGACCTGTTGCCCAAGGCATGGCTGGTTCTGCGTGTGAGGCACTGATGGGCTTCCTTAGCAGCAGAAAAGACAGAAAGGTGCTGTCTTTTCTGTCATGCCTGGTGCTGCAGGCATGCGGCTTCATGAGGTTGTATTAGGTCACTTAGATTCGGGCTGGAGGTTGCTTGCTCAAGGCCTACTCCGGGTATCTCTCCAAGCCCTGCTGGGGCTGGCTGACCCCCACCCCCCTGTATCTCTCTGCCTTTCCTCTCCAGGGGCTGGAGTCTTCTTCTTGTCCTCAGACGAAGGAGAGCAGATTAGCTTCCTGTTTGACTGCATTGTCCGGGGCATCTCACCGACCAAAGGCCCATTCGGTCTCCGGCCAGTTCTCCCAGGTATGTGTGGGGGATGTTACAGGATGGTACACTTGCTGTTCCAGGGACTGGTAAGCTGCTTCATCAGCCTAGTGAGGTAGCCTGCTCTTTCCCATCCGCAACTAAGAACCCTAGAGCCTACTGGCTTGGGACTACAGCCCTCTAGCCACTGTGGTTCCTAAGGAGGTCTGCTGGCATGTCTCAGGCCTGGCTCTCCTGGAGTTGCCCCTCCTCCATGGACATGGGCCAATGGAACCCTAGAGTCTGCAGCCTTCTGGTTGAGGCAGGTGAGCCACAGCTACAGAGACTGGGCAGTAAGAAGCCTAAGACCTTGGAGATGGGGAAGAGAGAGCCTGGCCCTAGGTCGCTGGCATGTGGGCAGCTGATTTGTCTCTGCATATAGGGGTCAGGACCAGGATGTCTGAGCCTGGCATTTGGACTAGAGCCACCCTGTGAGGTTATCTGGTGTGTGTGTGTGTGTGCATGTTCACGTGTGTGTGTTTCAAAGTGTATATTGGGTATGCTCCATAGAATGTGCCTCTTGTCCTACTCCTAATCTGCCAAGGGCATCTTGGCCAGGTGTGCTGCTGGAGCTAACGGGCCGATGGCCCTGGCACTGAGGAACCCAGAGCAGGATGAGTTGGGGGCTTGTATGGATGGTTCCCAGTGGATGGTGTCGAAGTGTGGCCACACACAGATGGTCCAAGCTCCATCTGCTGTGTCCCTACATGGTCACCACGCCAGGGGTAGGGGACACAGTTTCAAATGCTGAGCTGGACCCATGGGCACCACCAGGACCTTCATATTTGCTGCCCACCCCAGAGCAGCCAGTGAGATAGCTGCTGGAGATCCTGAGGACTTTCCTGGGGTCAAAGCCCTCCTGCTGCCCAGTAGTCTGGGCAATGTGGCAGCGCACCCTGCTGGTATCTTTCTACTTTTCAGTTGTATAATAACAAAGGGGAAACGCCAGGGGACCACCAGGGTCTCAGGGTGTAGAGAGACCATGTTTTCCCCCAGAGACATCTTTTGAGGTCCCTAGAAGCATAGTCACCTCACAACACACCCTTGTGTGTGTGACACTGGGGTGTGCCTGGGAGCAGGACTTGGGTTTTAGGGGTACCCACTCTCCTGCTTGTTTTAAATGTTTCTGGGTGAAGAGAGCACTGGGCATAGCACTGGGCACAGGATGGCATAGATGGCTCATCTTGGAAGTGAGTTGTTCCCCAACACAGGCAGGGAGTGGGCTGTCCCCAGATAGGGCCATTGGTGACCACTGGCGGATGGTTTGGCTGATAGGGCATTCCAGACCTGTCCCACAGTTGCCCCTGTCAGATCATCTAGGAATGCTCAAACAAGGCAGCTGCCAGGTGTCCTGCCCAGTATATGGGGTCTTGGGTCACCCCAGCATAACAACTGTGTGGACCGTCGTCAGCATCCAGCTAGCTCAATTGTGGAGTCCTATAGGGTTGACCCCCTGCAGGAAGAGGTTGTGGGAGGACAAGGGCTCTGTCCTCTGTGCATTAAAAAAGTCCCATCGTGGTGAGGGGCTCCTGCGATGCACATTTCTGAGCATCGCCCCACTCTGTAGGTTTGCTGCTGTGCAGGCCCAGCAAGGCCTTTGCCTTCCACATGAGAACCCAGAGCCTAGAGAAAACTGGAAGGGAAGGGTGGAGGATTCTGGAAAGTCCTGTTCTGAGGACAGCATTCTGATACTTTAGTGACCCTCTCTAACTGGGGGGAGAGGGACGGATGGGTGTCATTACTGCTGGAGGCGTGCCATTCAGAGCTGAGGAAGCCCATGGCAGCAAGGTGCCAATCATAGAAGCCTCTCTCAGGCCTCTCTGGGGCCAGCTGTGCTTCAGGGTATTTCTGAAGGAAAGAGGGAGGCCGCTGTGAGCTAGAAAGGGGTGGCCAGAGGCTTTGCTATAAGGTAGCTTTTCTGCGTGCCAATGGCTGTGCAGGGAATGTGGACAGAGCCAGAGGAGCAGGTTCCTACTGCTGACTGCTCGCAGCCTGGAATGTTGACATTGTCAAGGGCCTTAGACAGGCAGTGTGGATATGTTCGAGGAGGTCCTTGCACGTGAGCACCTCAGCAAAGGCAGCAGGGGAAGGGTGTCTGGGGAGGACAGGGTGGAAATCTTTGCTGTCACCTATAATGGTATGGCTCAGGGATGGGAGATGTTAAGGGACCAGGAAAAGGTCCCACCGTCCTGCCAGCCACAGAACTATGGAGGTATTTTATTCAGACCAAAGTGGAGCTCCTGAGAAGTGGGTGTGGTGACCCAGGGCTGAGCAAACTTCTCCTAGACCAGGGGAGCTGTGGGATTGAGGAGGTGACGTTATCGGTGAGGGGAGGCCCATAGCTGGTGGGGGCGGGACAGAGGGATCTGGTTGTCTTAGTGGGGTTGTCACGGGGACAGAGACCCAGGCTGGGCAGTTCAGGGGCATGTCCGCAGGGGCGAGAACACAGGCTGGGCAGATGGGGTCTTGCTCACAGAGAGAGGCCTGGGCTTGGCATCTAGGGGGCCTGAGTGGCTGGTTTAGGTACCCTGTCTTTGATGCCTTGCAGCTGGGCCAAGGCATGGGGCATAACTGGCTCCAAGGAACCATCTCAGGCTGCCTTGGCTCTTAAGGTTCTGGACTCACCAGGTGTCCTGGTGGTACAGAGGCGGGGTGATGGGGTGGTGCAGGGGTGGTTGTTGTCTCACTGATCTTTTTCTCTGCACAGACCCGAGTCCTGGGGGACCCTTGGCCTCAGAGGAACGTGTTGCCCAGGAGGCGCTGGAGGCCCTACAGCTAGAGAAGAGGCTCAGCCTGCTCTCACACTCTGGCCGGCCAGGCAGCGGAGGTAGAGTCAGTGGTTAATTTCATCTGGGCTGCAGGGACCTCTCTCTAAGTACAGTCCTTCCTACTCCACTCTGGGCCACACAGCAAATCTCTCTACATGGGCTGTTGGAGTCCCCTCGTGTATACGCTCATGACCTCTGACTTGTGCAGGTAGCTGTCATCTGTTTCAGCCATGCTTTCTCTCATCCATCCACCCATCCATCCATGCCTCCATGCCTCCAACCATCCATCCATTCTTCATTCCTCCTGCTCATTTACTGCTTTGTTACCCATACGTCTAGCCACTCATTGCTTCCCCTCCTACTCATTCTTTCTTCTTCCTCCTGTGTATTCATCTATTCTTCCTTCATCCATTCACATACTAGCCATGTGGACTGGTATATCCAACCTTCTGGGAAAGGTCTGGGATGGTGAAGGAGGGTGGGTTGCCCCAGGCCTTGGCTGGGCTAGAAGGTGGCCAGGATGGTAGTCACAATAGTTGGGCTAGGAGAGGAGGAGGCCACTCAGGAGCTGGGTCACAGATCCACAGCATGAAGGGGCTGTAAGCAGGTACCTGCCTCAGGGGGCACTGTAGAGGAGATGGTGGGGTCCAGATGGAGAGACTCAGACTGTGACCAAAGAAGTGGCCGTGGGAGGAAGGTTAGGGGCTCTGAAAAGGCTGGCATTGAAAGTGGGCCAGGGGCTGGATGAGGAAGGGGCTGTCCCGCAGATCCTGGCCTACTGATCCAGCTTCCAGATGTAGGGGCTGGGGAGGAGTAGACTGTCATAGCACTCTGACTAGAGACCACCCCTCACCTGCTTGGACCCCACAGCAGCCTCAGTTTCTGCTTTGTCTCAGGGGATGATCGGAGCGTATCCAGTTCCTCCTCTGAGGCCAGTCACTCAGACATCAGCGCCAGCAGCCGGCTCACTGCATGGCCGGAGCAGTCCTCATCCTCAGCCGGCACATCCCAGGAAGGGCCAGGAGGGCTAGTGGCCGCCCAGGGCTCAGGAGAAGCCATGCTGGGAGGCTCCAGGCCACCCCTCAAGCCACTGCGGCCTCGGCAGTTACAGGAAGTCGGCCGCCAGAGCTCCTCTGACAGCGGCATTGCCACAGGCAGCCATTCCTCCTACTCTGGCAGCTTCTCATCCTACGCTGGCAGCAGCCTGGACGTGTGGAGGGCAGGAGAGGAATTCGGGTCCCTACTCAGCCTGCCCCCTGGAGCCAGCGCACCTGAGCCCAGACTGTGTGCCTGCCCACCGGGGGCGGCTGAGTACCAGGTGCCCACTTCATTGCGACACCACTATGACACACCTCGAAGCCTGCGCCAGGGTCCCAGGGACCCAAGCCCAGCCTCTCAGGGCGGCTCTGACCACAGTTCAGCCACGGACTTGAGTGGTCAGGCATCCACGGGGTGTCCCTCCAGTTCTATGGGAGCTCGAAGACGGGGACAGACAACGGAAGGCCCAGGCAGTGAAGCTGCGCTGCCCAGTCCATCCCCTGGCGAGTCCTGGGAAGCAGGCAGCCCCCACGCAGGGCTGCCTCCAGCTTTCTTTTTGTCATGTTCAGTCTGTGGCGGACTCAAGGTAAAGCCCCCTCCCTGAGATAGCAGGCTGGCCGCTGCTGCCAAGGGCTGGATACGACCCCTCCAGACAGGAGAGGAGGGGCCCTAGCCTCTTTGCAGAGGGGGTGCTTTGTGCTGTTTTGAGAAGCCACCAGACCTGTAACCGGGGCCTCAGGGGCAGGGTGACAACCACAGGGCTGTCCTCCCCTAGGTAGATGCTGTGGCTGCCAGAGATGGAGGCTGGTCAGGTTGGGGTCAGGAGAGCCCCTGAACCAGCTTTTCCACCTATCTTCTCACCCGGTGCATCGGCACAAGGGTGCTATGACCATGGGCTCCTGTCATTTGTTGCACTGTCAGGGGCAGAAGACCTCCACGGCTGAGGTCGGTTCTCAGAGACAACAAAGCTTGGCCTGGTCCACTGTCCTCTTCCGGGGTAACTGACCCTCTGTCATTCTTGGTCGTTTCTGCAGTATACAGGTACACTGCCTACCCCAAATCAAATCTACTGCAGCTGTTCCGGAGTCCCTAGTTCTGGGAGACGGCAGCTCTGTGTATGCAGCCCAGAGACCGGGCACGGTCCATGTGTGATCTGTTTTACACGTCACCCTGCAGCACCCACAGGTGGGGGCGGCGTCCCATCCCGTGGGGAGGAAACTGACGCTCAGGAGGCTCCATGATTCGCGGGGTCAGTGGCATTGACGCCCCCTCTGTGCTTCAGATCAGCCTGCTCCTGAGCCCCTGGAGGGCTCTGAGAAGTGGGCGGCCTGACAAGAGTATGCATCACCCCCCCAGAGGCTGAGTTTGCCCAGGCTCCCGAGATCAGTTTGCTGGAGGGCGTCTCGTAAAACCCTCCCAGTAGTGTACCCCTGCTCCAGGAGTGCCTCCTTGCTGGGACCAGGAAGCTGGTGGCCAGGACCAGGTGGAAAAAGGAAGGGCCACGCTGGCATTTGGAAGGCTCTGGCCCTGCCCACAGGTCACCCTGGCTCTGTGCTGGGCCGTCTCCCAACCCAGGCTGTACGTTCCCTTGCACGGAGCAGAGGTGTTCTGCTCCCCTGTGTCAGAGGGTCAGTGCGGCTGTGCCCACCCCTTATGAGTCTCTCCGTTGGCACCGATGGTTTCAATCTGCCAGGCCAACTTACCTGTAAAAGCCTTGATTTGTACCTGCATTTCGGCCAATCATGTTGCTCTATTGAGTTTTTAAGATCTGTTTGTAATACATTCTCAGACTGGAAATAAAGTTATCTTTTCTTACTGCCTTGCCTTGTTCCATTTGGCCCACTTCCCCTGCCAGGCCTGGGACTGAGGAAACTCCAGGGGCCTTTAGCCTGAGGTCTGGGTGTGTGGTTATGGGAAAGAGGACAGGTGGCTTTGGATAGTCCTTGGGGCCTGGAGACACGGTGTGTGTGTGTGTGTATGTGTGTGTGCGTGCACGTGGGTGGTGGGTGGTGGCTTGTGGAAACCACACAAGCCAGAGGTTGGCAGTGGTCTCTCAAACTCAGGCCCGGGGCTGCCTGTGTGCAGTGTTGGGTGTTTCATCTCTCCCCTCAGGGCTTGCTCTGAGCTCAGACTCACTCAACCCTGAATCCAACCCAACCCATTTCATTTTCTCTGTGCAGAGAGAGCTCTGAGCAGGCCTTCCCTGCCTGCCTGTTTCCATCCTTTCTGGCAGCCCTGCTGGAAGTTGGGAGCCTGGCTCCCCCAAGCTGCTGTGTAGGGAAAAGCAGTGTTTGGGGGCTCGGCCACATTCGCTACCCAAGTGACTGGGTGACCCTGCGAGTCACTGTACCTCTGTGAGCCTCAGTTTCCTCCTCCGTTGATGGGTAACCATCCTCACCTCATGGGCTGGCCTGAGGGTCTTGATGGGATCCCTAAGGAAGCATCCAGCAGATGTGTGTTCACTAGAGGGAGCCAAGTATCCCTCCTGCAAAAGGGCTGAGATATCAGCTCCTGGGGCCAGGAAGCCAGTGTAATGGTCAAAGGGGCAGGCGCTGCTCTGGCCTGAGCCATGTGTTCTCTATACTCTGTACTTGCCTGGACCTCCCTGCAATAGGAAGAGGGGAGCCCAGGTGGGTAGGTCTGGTAGGTTCTGTCATTGCTGTTGGAGCTTGGGTGTCTACCCGCTCACTACCTGGGCCCTGGACCTGGGGGGGTGGGAGTTGGCCTATGGGCAGGAAGTCCTCACTTCAGGAAGAAAGGGAACACCATGGCACACTGGGAGAAGGGAGAGGTCAAGTAGAAAATCTCCAGGGGAAGGCAATCTCAGGCTCTTCTTCTGCCCAGTCTATCCCTCAAGACACTATCAACCCCAGCAGTCTGCAAAGGCATCGGTGGTTGGGGCTCCATGTGAAACGCAGGGTCACCAGCCATGACTCCTCTTCATGAGATGGGGTAGCTGATAGGGTGGAGGCTTCCCCTCAAGCCAGGGGCCTACGGATGGGTCACTGGTCTGAGACCTCCCTCCTCACACACAGCCCCCCGGAGGGCCCAAATCATGTACTTTCCTTGTCGCACTGTGATCCACCCATGCCCAGGGCCTAGTGCGGATCCTGTAGAGCCATGGGCCTCCCTGAGCAGATGCTCTTTGTGAGGGCTGTTGAGATATGTCCTCTTGATTAGTGACAGAGTACCGCTTGCATGTGGTTGCCTCTGGGCTGTTCACCTCTCATCCTGGGGACTCTCTTACACCTTGGGTCCCCAAGGTGGCACAGGACTGTTATAAGTGATGCAGTTAGACCTGGGTGGTCTGCCCAGGGGCATCCCTGCCTGTACCATGGGCATGTGACCATGGCTGTCAAGGCTGGCCTGGATAGAGCTGGGTGTCAAGTTCCCCTTCCTCTCCTCCCCCCATGAGGCCCCACTACCATGTTGCTCCTTCAGAATCACTTGGTTTGTGTGACAACCTATGGTTATAGGCCCCTTCACAGCAGGCACCCTGGGCTGCTTCCGCCTCCACTTTCTCTCAGCTGGAGTGAGGAGGTCCGTGCATGAGATAGCAAATGTGCTCAGCTGAGCTTTTATCCTCCCTCATCTGCCTGTGCAGCTACTCTAAGCTGTTTCCTCTCATGTTCTATCTACTCCCCGGCCAGGCTCTGCCTGAAGCAGAGGCCCAGGCCTCATTCCAGGGTTGGGTGAATGTTTGTCTCCTCTGTGGGCTCCTAGAAGGCCTCTGTAAGGCATGGAAACAGCGTGCCAGGGCCAGAGAGTAAACACTGTTGTCACCATGGGCCAAGTAGCCATGTTTGTTTAGAAATCTGGTGCCACTCAGGTGAGGAGGGGCAGTGGAATCTAGCTGCACCATAAGCTAGAAGGGAATAGCCTGGGAACCCTTGTTTGTAAACTTCCTCTGATCAGCCTTGGCCTCAACTGTCTCCTGGATTGTTGTATCAAACCATCGTTTGGGTGGTCAGGGCTGTGGAGTCTAAGAACAAAGGTGTTATGGCCCTCCAGGTTATAGGTGGTCCAGATCCTTAGACCTATATTGTTTTTAGAGTTACTATTCTGTCTCTCGGGGCTCAGGGGGTAGGATAATGGGTGAGTGGGATGTACACACTGACCCCTGTTGTCTTTGGTCTAGGTCATGGCTACTTCATCCTCTGGACTCACTGTGACACACCCAGGTAGGCACCTGGCTTTGGATCGCAGTACTCAGTGCAGGCATGGAGGATTTAGAGTTAAGGGCATCTCCCTGTTGGATGGGGAAGGGTTTGGGCAGTAGAGTGACAGTGGCGTCTGGGGAGCCTGGAACAGGCAAGCAGAGTGAGGTGGTGAGCTAAGGACAGGTAAATGGCTCTGGGGCGTGACTGGATGGACTGTCTAGGAGGGGGCAATGGGCAGCTGGGTCATGGTCTGTAGCTCAGGAGTCAGATTTGAGGGGTTGGCCTAAGTGTATATCAGCTAGAGAACGGACAAGGAAACCGTAGCTCATGGGGTTTCAGCTCTTCAGGACAGGTTTGTGGAAGTGGTAGGAATGACAGCATCTTCAACAAGGAGTGGGGACTCCTCAGAAGAAGCCTGCCTCTCAGCAGGTGAAGGCTGGAGGGTGCCAGTCCTGACAAGGGCAGCCCTGAGGGTTGGGAGAAGCTCCGGGTCTTGGGTGGCAGGTCCTGGGCCAGGTGACTGGAGGCCAGGGGTACCTCTGGCCTTGTTGCCTCATGAGTGAGTGACACAGATTCCTGGGTCCCTTATTCAGAAGTGAGTGGTGGCTTTGGTAGGCCAAGCCCTGTGGGTAAGATCTCAATCAGAACCAAGGAGGCAATATGGTAGAAAAGTGGATGAGGCCGCAGGCAGGCAGGGTCAGCACATTGGCCAATAGAATAGCTCCACACCCATCTGTGTTCTGTCTGGGATGCTCAGCTTCAGTGCTGGGTCTATATGGAGTCTATGGTCCAGGGTCCTCCCTGACATCATGCAGTAGCAGGGGTGGCCCTCACTGTTCATCTCCCTCTGATACTGTCTCACTACGGATGCCAGTATTTACTTTGGTATAGCTGATTACCCCACCGCGGGACCAAAGGGGTGGAGATGGAGAAGGCACCACTTGAGGACAGGGCCCTCTCCCTCTGAGGGCAAGGATGAGATCACATGAGCGGTAGGACCCTGGCTCTGATGAGGGACATGTAATTTTGCTCTGAAACAGACTAGGAACAGAGATGTGCCTGGTTATAGCCAGGTGGTGATCAGCCTGCCGCTGTGGGAAGGGAAAAAATAGGCAATAATATGCTGTTGTCTGTCTTGTTCTAGTAAGTATTTGAGTCTTAAAACGATGCTGGCCAAAGCCAAAACTGAATTAAAGGACTTGGAGTATAGGGGACCCACACCTTCCTGACCAGCTAGTCATGTTCCCTTGGGAAGACATTGAGTTTAGCTAGAGGGGGGGCACCTCATGGAATCTCGACAGCACCCCTCTGGCCTATGACTTTGGATGTCAGTTGGTTTCGAACCTTCCATCTCTTTTCCCCTGAGTTTAGGCTGCCGGTTTCTCCTGCTTCTCTCTATTCTTTTTTTTAACTCACCTTTCCAGACCATCTTGGAAAAAAAAACCCTAAACAAAGTGCCCAGACTTGGGGAACCTGTTCAAGTTCACTGAGGCACAGAGCCTAGCCCCAGCTCTCTGTCTTCAGCCTTCAAAGGCTCCACGTTGAAGTCTGGTCTCTCTAGTCTCTTAAGCACTGGGGCTCTATCTAGACGCCAGTCCTGGCTCACCTGCCTCATCCTGTCTCCTCCTTCCCTTAGCCATGCTCCTTCTCCAGCCTGCCAACCCAATTGTGGGGAGGCCTGCTGTGGGCACTTTCTTGCTGCCTGGACAGTCAGTGTAGGCTGGTCCTAGCTTTCCCTCCACTCTGCTGGCTGACCCTCCGTGGGGACATTTTCTTTGGCTGTGATTGATTCTCTGTGTTACAAATGCACCAGATTCCCAGAAATCCTTTGCCTCAGGTCAGACATTTTCTGGGGATTGAAAAATGCTGAGCCTGCCTTTGCTTGCCAATGGCTATGACAGGATGTTCTAGGAGTAAGCCATGCCAGCTCCCTGATTTGAGGCCAGTGCAGCAGCTAAGTCCATAACTTGGACAGTACGGGGACCTTAAAGACCTCCAAGGACATGCACTGTGTGGTAGAGGGTCTTCCCCGGGGTTCCCAAGGCTGTGGGATTGGGGTAGAAGTGACCAGCCAGAGGGTGCACCCCCACGACCCTGCCATCTCATTTGGCTGTACTGGCTGATGGATATGACTTGGGCAGAGAGGCAGAGCCAGGCCTATCTCTCTGGATATGGGGAATGCAGAAACAAGCTTATATGTGGGAATCTCTACGTCTCCATCTTTGAACTGGATTCTGTGGGCTTGGCATGTGCTGTGGGGGCAAGGCCTTCACCAGCCTCTCTGTGTCCAGGCTGCTGGCATTGGAATAGAGGATGAAGGATTGACTGCCCTTGCCTATCACTCTGAAATAGTGCTTTATGCCCCATTCTATACGATTGTCCCCGACCCCATAGAGAGAGAATCATGACGGTACCCCTGCAGAAAGGCCTTGACTTTGCCAACTCTGTGCAGGGTCCCTGGGCCTGCAGGGAAGGGCCTAGGGCCCATCCAAATAGTCCTCTTAACAGTGAGTCTACCATGAGCCTCACATGCTGGGCATGGAGGGTCCCTTGCTCCTTCGGCTTTGCCCACGCTCCCCATCAACTGCTAAGATATGGAACAGGGGTAAGGGGTGACATTTTAGAAGAG